ATATATATAAAACATAATTCCTTTATTTGTGTAAATGTGTTATCACATCTATGAGACCTTGATGACAAGAAGAATTGTGTGGCTCTATCCTTTTGTTTTGTGACACTACTACAACAATCATCTCATGCCTTTGCATTACCTGTTCCATCTATGTCCATCTCTACCTCTCGGAAATTTGGAAATTTCCTTCAAGACACAGCCCTAAGTGCCACTTTCTGCATATGGCCTTCCCTGGGCCTCCAAGCCAGCACTGTCTTCCTTTACTCCAAAGTTTCCTTGTATTTGTTTTGTGTCTGATTTGTATATATCTATATATGCATGTTGTCTCCTCCATTAGAATGATGGCTTCCTGAGAGCAGGGACTGTTTTGTTTTTTATCTTTTATTTCCAATGTATTGCACTTAGTAAATTCTTATTGATTGTTTGATTTTTCCACTGTCATGCACCTACTGGCTCCTTGCCTTCAGCTTGCAACTATGCTAAAGGTTCCTAAATTTAAAAAAAAAAAGTTCCCTTGACCTTTAAATATCAATCCCTTGGATTATCATTTTCTCTCTATCCTTCCTGGATAGAGGTAGACCCTGGATAAGCTACCTAACTACTCCAGGCTTCAGTTTGGATTCATATGGATTTGATGACCTCCAAAATCCCTTCCACCTATAAATCTATGTTACCCTTCACCAGAAAACTTCTAGAAAGAAACACTCAATGCATCTACTTCCTCATCACCTCTCTGGCTAAACCTCATGAAAACTGACTTCTTTCTTTACCACTCTTCCGAAATTGCTCTCTATTATCTTCTTTTTTGATTTCTATAGCATCTTACACTATAAACTACCCTCTCCTTTCCACTGTGACACTGCACTCTCATAGTTCTGATTATCTTCCTTTCTATCTGGTTGTTCCTGTCTTTTTCCTGGCTCCTTATCATCCTCCTCTGCCTTCAATATAAGTATGCCCTAAAATTCTGTCCCTAGTCCTTTTCTTTTCCTTGTCTCATTTAGTGATCTATTTCATTCCCAGGGAATTAGCTATTAATTCAAATGATTTCCAAATAGATTTCCAGAGGCGGGGTCAAGATAGCAAGGTAAGGCAGGCACTTATCTGAGTGCTCCCAAATTCCCCTCCAAACAATCTTAAAATAATGCCTCAAAACAAATTAGGGAGCAGCAGAACCAACAAAAGAATGCAGTGAAATAATTTTCCAGCTTGAAACAACTTAGAAGGCTGACAGGAAAGGGCTGTCTCACTGAGGTGAGAGTGGAACACAGTCCAGCTCAGGTGAACTGGGCAAGCCAGTAGCAGCCTGTACCCCAGCAAGCCAGCAGTAAGGCCTCCGAGCTCAAACAGAGCAGCAGTGAAGCCCTGCATCACCACACAAGCCAATAACACAGCCCCACCCCGGCAAGTCAGTGAAGACCTTGGGAGCAACCAAATCAGCAGCAGCAATTTCTGGAGGTTTCAGCCCAGAGATGTTAAGGGAGCCAGATAATAGTGAAAAAGAGAATATAGGGGACACTTTGCTGACATTGGGTAAAAGACTCTGTTGCATTGCCCAAACGGGGATCTGGGTCACAGACCCAGGTCACAGTCCCAGAATAAGGAGGAGCACTAGGACACTAGAATGCATGGTTGCAGGAGAATAGGGATCCTGGTCACAGGTCCAAGGTGGAAAAGAGTACTTGTGGTTTCTCACAGACCACAGGACAGGCCAGGAGAGCAGTGACCACACTTCTCCTTAGATCATACAACCCTGGAAGAACTGAAAATTTACAGGTTCCCAGAATTAGCTCTGAAAATAGTAGCATGAAAAACCTGAAGCTTGAGGACAGTGCCTCCTCCACCCCAAGAGTACAGCCTAACTTTAACATAAAGTTAATTAAGTCAAGAAATAGTCTGAAAAAATGAGCAAAAAAAAAACCAAACAAAAAACAAAAAACAAAAAACAAAAAAAGAACCTGACTTTAGAAAGTTACTATGGTACAACAGGGAAAATCAAAACACAAATTCGGAAGAGGACAACAATACCAAAATGGCTACATGCAAAGCCTTAAAGAAAAATGTGAATTGGTGTCAGACCCAAAAAGAACTAAAAGAGCTCAAAAAAAATAGATATATTTTTAAAAATCAAGTAAGAGGTAGAAAAAAATGGGAAAAGAAATGAGAGTGATGCAAGAGAATCATGAAAAAAAGAGTCAAAGCTTGGTAAAGGAAGCACGAAAAATGGAAAAAAGATGTACAAAAATTCACTGAAGAAATCAACTCCTTAAAAAGTAGAACGGGCCAAATGGAAAAGGAGATACAAATACTCACTGAAGAAAATAATTTCTTAACAATCAGAATTGGACAAGTGGAAGCTAATGACTCCATGAGACACCAGAAACAAAAACAAAATCAAAACAATGAAAAAATTAGAAAGAAAATGTGAAATATCTCATTGGAAAAGCTACTGACCTAGAAAACAGATTGAGGAGAGATAATTTAAGAATTATTAAGACCATCTGAAAGCTATGATCAAGATCCTAGACATCATATTTCAAGACATTATCAAGGAAAACTGCCCTAATCTCCTAGAACCAGAGGGTAAAATAGAAATGGAAAGAATCCACCAATCACCACCTGAAAGAGATCCCAAAATGAAAAGTCCCAGGAATATTACAGCCAAATTCCAGAGCTCCCAGGTCAAGGAGAAAACACTGCAAGCAGCCAGAAAGAAACAATTCAAATATTGTGGAAGATTACACAGGATTTAGAAGCTTCTACATTAAAGGGTCAAAAGGCTTAGAATATGATATTCTGGAAAGCAAATGAGCTAAGATTATAGCCAAGAATCACCTATCTAGTGAAAGTGAGTATAATTCTTCAGGGGGAAAAATGGATATTTAATGAAATAGAGGACTTTAAAACATTTCTGATGAAAAGACCAGAGCTGAACAGAAAATTTGATTTTTCAAATATAACACTCAAGAGAAGAATAAAAAGGTAAACAGGAAAGGGATATGATAAGGTTAAACTCTTAAGAAGTTTATCACTATTAGGGCAGTTAGAAGGTATATACATAAACAGAGGGCATGGATATGAATTGACTATGATGGAATATCAAAAATACAAAATCAAGGGGTCAGAAAGAGGGATGTGCTGGGAAAAGGGGGAAAGCAGGGGTAGAATGGGGTAAATTATGTCACATAAAAGAGGCACGAAAGAGTTATTACAGTGGAGGGGTGGCAGGCAACACCTGAACCTTACTTTAATCAGAATTGTTTCAAAGAGGGAATAACATACACAGTTAAGTATAGAAATCTCTTATCCTATAGGGAAGTAGGAGGGAAAGGAGATAAGAGAAGGGTGGGGAAACTGATAGAAGGAAGAGCAGATTGGGAGAGGTGGTGGTCAGAAGCAAAGCACTAATGAGAAGGGACGGGGTGAAAGGAGAGAGAGAAAGAATAAACTAGGAAAAAATAAGATGCAGAAAAATAAACAGTTACCATAACTGTAAATGTGAATGGGATTAACTCACCAATAAAATGGAAGCGAATAGCAGAATGGATTAAAAACCAGAATCTTATATTATGCTGTTTACAAGAAATACATTTGAGGCAGAGAGACATACACAGAGTAAAGGTAAAGGGCTGGAACAGAATCGATTATGCTTCAGCTGAAGTAAAAAAAGCAGGAGTAGCAATCACAATCTCAGATAAAGCAAAAGCTAAATTAGCTCTAATTAAAACGTATAAGGAAGAAAACTACATCTTGCTAAAAGGTACCATAGACAGTGAAATAATATCAATACTAAACACATATGCATTAAATGGTATAACATCCAAATTTTTAAAGGAGAAGTTAAATAAATTACAGGAGGAAATAGACAGTAAAACTATACTGGTGGGGGACCTTAACTTTCCCCTCTCAGATAAATCTAACCACAAAATAAACAATAAAGAAGTTAAGAAGGTGAACAGAATTTTAGAAAGTTAGCTTTGATAGACCTCTGGAGAAAACTGAATGGGAAGAGAAAGGAATGTACCTTTTTCTCAGTGGTACATGGCACCTACACAAACATTTACCATATATTAGGGCACAAACACCTCACAAGCAGGTACAGAAAAGTAGAAATATTAAATTCATCCCTTTCAGATCATAATGCAATGAAAATTATACTTAATAAAGGGCCATGGAAAGATAGATTAAACATTAATTGGAAACTAACCTAATCCTAAAGAGTCAAAGAACAAAGAAACAATCAATAAGTTCATTAAAGAGAATGACAACAATGAGACAATATACCAAAATGTATGGTATGCAGCCAAATATATTTCCATCCTTCAAAGGTCCAGTCCTGTACTTTAAATTACTTGTTTTATTCCTTTACCTAGATGTCTCACTGGCACTTCCATTTCAATTTTGTTCAAAGTTGAGTTGATCATCTTTTTCCTAGGACCTGTCCTTGGTCATAAAGTCTCAATTCTTTTGATGCCATCACTATTTTTTTTTTTTTTTGAGGCAGTCGGGGTTAAGTGACTTACCCAAGGTCACACAGTATGGGTCAAGTGTTTGGTCTGAGGCCGGATTTGAACTCAGGTCTTCCTGACTTCAGGGCCGGTGCTCTATGCACTGCGCCACCTAGCTGCCCCTCCATCACTATCTTCTTAAGTCACCCAGGTTTGTAATCATGTGGCCATGTATTGTTCTTCTTTTTCTTACCCAACACACATCCAATCTAAGTCCTTCCTCAATACGTCCTCTTCTCAACTTCTCATCTCTTCTCACCCAGATACCCTCCAAATGGCTTTTTTTGCTTCTACATTTTCCTCTTCCCAATACATCATTTACATTGATTAATATTTTTAATACATCATTCTGAAAATATAATTCTTTAACTCAAAAACTTTCAGTGGCTCCCCAGAGCCTACAGAATAAACTTTAGATTCTTGAATCCAGTATTCAAAGGCCACCTTCCTCCCATCTGACTCTGAATTACCTTTACTAATCTGCAGACTTACTTTCTACTGTTGCACCTTCATTTGGGTTTGAGTAACCTTCTCCTTTCTGCTTGATTCTGCGGATAATACCTCCATCTTCAAATAAATCTTCTCCTTTGAAATCAAGTAGTTCGATCTAGAAAGAAAAAAGGGGATTTGGTTAAGAAAGAGCAAAGTCAACAGTGACACAGGTAGAAGGCAAGGCAATCCAGATCACACTTTAGTTAGCAAAATGAAAACTATTCACTTAATATGACTATAAATTTATCTAGACATCTCATTTATTTATTAGAAGAACAGAAAAAACAAAACACCACACATTCCAATACCTGGAAAGAACCTTAATGCAAAGATAACGTCTAAGACTACATCCTGTGTGGCTGCAAATACAAAGACTAACAGGAAATGCTATGAAAACTGCCTTGTGGACAAAATGCCAGAACCATGAAGTGCTGGCACAAAACTATTATAATCTGTTCCTAAAACACCCACCCCTTTCCACTCAATAGTCAGGTAGCTGTTGTTCTCAGCAGCTTTCTTTTAAAAAAAAATTATAAATGTTTTGAAACTTTTTTTTTACATTACTGTCACTTCCTAATGACTCTTTCTGGACTCCTTCCACACTCTTATACCCTTCTTTATAATAATGAAATATAAATAAACCAACATATTGTCCATATATAACAATATCTGCCATGTATCTAGTCTAATCTACTACCTCTCTATTAAAAAAAAAAGGGAAATATGTTTTACCATAAATCCTTTGGTCAAAATTAGTCACAGTATTGATCACAGTTCTGTTGTTCTTCTTTCTTAAATTAATGTATTTATTTTGAACTTAAATATGAAAAAAGATGACTTCTATATACAGAGAACACAAAAAAGACTGTATATGAAACCATGAAACTACATTTCATGATTCACTTTTTTAAAAAAAGTACATAATAAATTCCACATATTACTTTCAAAATTATCTTGTTTGCTTGTGCTTTCTTCTGAAATTTCTTTTTTTCTTCTGTGCATTAAAAATATTTTTTCAATAGGTGGTTTTTTTTAATCTTTTTATATACGTATTTTTTTTTTTATCACTATAGCTAACTTGCCTTTCCCTCCATTAAAAAAAGTGATGGAGGAAAAAACCTTTTGTAACGGATATGTATAATCAAGAAAAACAAATGCACAGCACAGCCATGTGCAAAAATGAATGTCTCCTTCTGCACCTTGAATATATATCATCTCGCTCTCAAGAGGTAGGTAACATGCTCCCATCATAGGTCCTTTGTAGACATAGCTGGTCATTTAATTGATCAAAATTAATGTCTTTTAAAGTTGTTTTTCTTTAAAATGTTGTGGTTCTTGTATAAATTGTTCTCGTTCTGCTCACTTCACTTTACATCATTTTACACTACCCAAGATTCTCTGAAATGACTTTTGTCATTTCTTTTGGAATACTAATACTCCAATATATTAATAAACCACAATTTATTCAGCCTAGTATCCTGGTGTTTTTCAAAGCTGTTTTCTTTTACATTATTGTGTACATTACACATCTTTTCTCTTGGTTCTGCCTATTTCACTATGCATCAGTTCACACAAGTCACAAGTTTGTCTGAATTCTTCATATTCATTGTTTATTATGCCAATATTATGTCATATTCACATACTTCAATTTATTCAGCTATACTCCAACTGAAGAACATCCAATATTTTTCTAATTTTTTGCATCCACAAAAGTGTTGTTCTATTTTTATATATATTGTACCTTTCTATCTTTGATGTCCTTGGGGTATATGCTCAGTACTGGTATCATTGGGTCAAAGAGTATTTAGTTACTTTTCTAAAGCAGTTCCAAACTGTTTTATAGAAGGGATGGAACAATTTACAGCTCTACCAATAGGAATGTTCCTGTCTTTCAATAGATACCCCTCAACCCCAATATTTATCATTTCTTTTGTCATGTTTTCTAATCTGATGACTACAAGGTGAAACCTCAAAGTTGTTTTAATTTGTTTTACTAGTGATTTGGAGCATTCTTTCTTATGGTTGTCAATAATTTGATTTCTTTTTCTGAAAATTGTCTCTGCTTTTCTTGTTAACTACTGTCTTGAGAAATGGCTCTTATTCACATATATTTCTATCCATTCCTACATCTATCTTGCATCTCAGACCTTGATGTGTGATATTTATTATAAAGTTTTTTTTCCTTATTCAGTAGTCTACTTCTTATTCTAGGTGCACTGATTTTGTCTAAGCAAAATTTTTAAAATTTTGTGTAATCAAAATTTTAGAATTTAATTTTATAACATTAAAATTTTAGAATTTATAATTTTATAATCTAGTCCTTGTTTAGGCATTCTACCCCTATAACTGGTAAAAGGACAGGACCAAACTCTTCTCAAAAGAATTACAAAGTATTTTAAAAAATCAATCCAGATCACTAATAAGAAGTGAAATCCAAATTAAAAAAATACTGAGCTTTCACATCCCACCCAATAAGCTGGCAAAGATGGTAAAAAGTGGAATTTATTAATGTTGAAACCGCTCTCTTCAGTTTTTAAATGCCAAATCTAATAGCCTTTTCTCAGTCCACATCCTTCTTGACCTCTTTGCAGCCTTTAACACTATCAGCTTCTTCTCTTTGATATTTTTCTTTCTCTAGGTTTTCATGACATTGCTGTCTCCAGGTTCTCCTCCTGTCTGATTATTCTTTTTTCTCCTTTGATGGATCTTTATTCAGTTCAAGCCCATGAACTGTGGGTATCCCTTCAAGATTTGTCCTGACCAAAGAATGTGAATTGAGCCTTCTCTTCTCCTTCTATACACTACTTCACTTGGAGATCCCATCAGCTCCCATGGATTTAGTTATTGTCTCTATGAAGATGATTCTCAGATCTGTTTATCCAGGCCAAACCCCTCTCCTGACTTCCAGCCTCCTGTCTCTCCAACTAACTATAAGGACATTTCGAACTGGATATCCCATAGATATCTTAAACTTAATGTTTCTAAAACTGAACCCATTATCTTCCCTCCTCCCTCAAATCCTTCCCCCTTCCAAACTTCCGTTTACTCTTGAGGTCACCATGATCCTCCAAGTCACCCAGGCTTACAACGTAGGAGTTATCCTCTACTCACTCTTTCTTACCTCTCTTATTTAATATATTACCAAATTCTGTGAATTCTTCCTTCAAAACAGTGTTGCTACATGTCCCTTTCTCTCCTCTGACACTGCCACCACCCTGAGGTGCAGGCCCTCATTACGTCACATCTAGACTACCTCAATTGCCTGTTGGTGGGTCTCCCTGCCACAGTTCTCTCCCCACTCTAGGATTCCATTCACCAATCACCTCAAAGAAGATCAAACTGATCTTCTTAAAGTACAGGTGTGACCATGCTAAACCACAGCTCCCTCTCCCCTTCCCCTTTTCAGTAAACTCTAGTCCCTTTCTGTTACCTTAGGGTCAAATATAGGCTTTTAAACCCTTCATAACCTGGATCCTTCCAACTTTTCCAGTCTTCTTACATCTTATTAGACCAGCTCCCAGAACTATGCAATCCAGTGACATTGACCTCTTTTGCTGTTCCTCAAACAAAATACTCTATCTCTTGACCCTGTGTATTTTCACTGACTCTCTCTCCCTCATGCCTGGAATTCTCTCCTTCCTCATCTCCACTTTCTGGCTTCCTTCAAATCTCAGCTCAAATCTCATCTGCAAAAAGCCTTTTCTGATCCCTTTTCATTCTGGGATCTTCCCTCTGTTGATTAGTTCCAGTTAATCTTATATTACTTGCTTGTACACAACTATTTGCATGTTGTCTCCCTCATTAGATTATAAGCTCTTTGAGAGCAAGGGGCTGTTTTCCTGGAAAACAAAGCTTGGCTCAGTGTCTGGCACAGAATAGGCACTTGATAAATTGTGGTTGACTTGACTTGATTGAATCCTGGAGGGACTACATACCAATACAGTGTTCATGGAAATATGAATTGGTCTAGCCATTCTGGAAAATAATTTGAAATTTTGCTAAGAGACTGATTAATGGAAATTGAGGGGATGCCAATCAATTGGGGAATGGTTAAACAAGTTGTGATATATGATTGTTATGGAATACTACTGTGCTATAAGAAATGATGAGCTGGTTGATTTTAGAAAAACCTGGGAAGACTTACATGAAATAATGAAGAGAGAAATGAACAGAACCAAGAGAATATATACAATACGAGCAATATTGTTCAAAGAACAACTGTGAACAACTAAGTTATATTTTGAGTATTGAAAATACTCAAACCAATTACAAAGGACTCATGAAGGAAGATGCTATTCACCTCTAGAGAAAGAACCGATAAGCAGAAGTATGTATAGCATGGCTATACATAATATTTGTGTCTGATGGTGGCCTTCTCTAGTGTGGGATGGGGAGGAAGGGAAAAAAAGTAAAAAGTGCACAGCAGAAAACAAAAGAAAACTCAGAAGGAAGCACAGAAAGGCAGGGTAGCTTTGAAAACAATGTGTAGTACTGATTACATAGTTTTTCAAAAGAAGTAAACAGTGTGAAATGGAGATTCATGCTTTCATGCTGAATCCTCTTTTTGTGTGGTGCTATATACATGGAAATGTCTTCTTTGTCTTTTTGTATTTAAGTTAAGAATTAATAAAAAAATTTTTTTTTCAAAAGAGTGATTAAAAAGTTTTACATTTTGACCCACTGATAGATACCACAAGAGTCAAAGACAGAAAGGTCTCATGTACACCCAGAGATTCACAGTCACAATTTCAGCGCAGTAAAAAGTTCACAACAAAGTTGATGTCCATTGATAGGTGAACAGTAGGACAAACTGAGGTACATGAATATAATGAAATATCACTAGCTATAAGGAATAATGACTATGAAGAATTCGGAGAAATATTGGAAAACATGAATTCATGAAGAAGCAGAAAAAAATATATTAATCAAAAAAGTTAAAAAAAAAAAAGAACAAACTGAATGCCATATAATTATAATGGCAAAGCTTGGCATGGAAAAAAGTTGAAAAAATTCTTCTCTTTCCCTTCCTTGCAAACATGGAAAGTATGGATTACTGCATATAATGTCATACATGGTTACGGTATTGGTTGGTTTTGCTAAGATATTTTTCCCCCTTTCTTTTTTTATTCTTTATTACAAGGCTCAAAATGGAGGAGAGGTGGGAGGGATATTATATATTTAGGTTACTTATCTATTTGGAACTTATTGTAATAGATGGTAAGATGTTAGTCTAAAGCTACTTTCTGTAAATTTTTTTTTTTAGTTTTGCCAACAGTTCTTGTTGAATAAGGGGGTCCTTACCCAACTGTTTTATCATCTTCAGATTACATATTTTCAGCTCCTTTCCAAAACCCTGTAGCTATTTTTTAAATGTAAATATGTCTTTTATACAAAACTGTACAAACTTATACAAAAATACATTTCTTCTGGTTGCAGTTATTCAGCTATTTTTGCTTAATTTTCAGTTAGGTGTTGCCATATATGGGGATATATATATATATATTCAGATCCACAAAGGTTAGGTCTGTTGCATGAATGAATTTTTATAATGTGAAAATGTTTTTTGACTTGGCACTGACATTTTAAAATATCATAATACACAAGACACATTTCTTTCATTTGGTCTCCCAGTCAATTGGGAGTCTGCTCAATGCTTACAACTAACTAAAATCCCTGATTCTAGGTCTGGTATCTTTTGTTTTTGTTTGGGTATAATCTTTCTGTGCCAGATACACATTTCTAAGAAAGCACTGGCACACACCCCTTAGGTTTGTAGGAATCAATTCAAGAATCCACGCTCCAAAATAAATAAGTTGGATTTGATCTGAACAGCAAGCCTAGCTTTTTCTCACTGCCTATTGCTTCAAAGCCAGCACTGAAGCAAGGCAGATGCTGACACAGCAAAAGAGTGTATACTTGCCTCAAAAAAGAGAGTTGCATTCGAGGGAATTTTGGGGATGCTGCCAGCAGAGCCATATGCATATTCTGGTTTACAAAGTAAGTGGCAGATCTCTCCCTTCTTCATGGTGGCAACTCCAATGTCCCATGCCTTGATAACCTGACCTAAGAGAAAAGAAAAGAATATTGAAAGCTATATTCTTTTACTCAGTAAGATATTTTTTAGTTCTTGGAACACCAAATGCACACTAACACTCCCACAGCAAATATGCAATAATAAGACTATGGTATTCACTGTCAGTGAAAATTACTTATAGTAAGGGTCAGTATGAGGAGGACAGAACATAGCCATAACTATTTCTGTAAGCTACCCACAAAATGAACAGATCAGATACATTCTTGGATGAAGAGAGATTAAAGTAGATATTCAAATTCCCAAACCTACTGCTAGCTGCCTTGGGGCATCTAACTCAGTCTCAAGTAAATTTATAAAGTTCAACCTGCTAATGAGGATCATTGCTCATCAGTGGCAAACAATATGTGTGGCAGTAGTAATACAGTTCTGTTGCTTTCAGGTCTACACCAGGTTCAGACTATTTTTCAATAACTAGGAAAGAACTAAAGCTATAGTTTCATAATCATGGCTTTTTTATTGTCTATTTTACTTGGCCTGGTATTTCACCAGTGCAGGGAGCTCCCAATGAGGAATTTTCTATTGATATAAATTGACCCCTTTTATATACTTAACTTTTAATTGGTTCTAAGGGGTCAAGAGATCTGATGGTTTGTCAGAAGCAGGACTCAAATCTTTCTCATGACTCTAAGTGAGGTCTGCTTTATCCAATATGATGCTATCTGTCTAACAGCTACAGCTATTTCATATAAAATCCTATGCTGTTTCTTCAAATGAATACAATTTATTTTTTTTTAATGTAATTTCTCTTTTTTGAGCTATCTTTCTTTCACATTATACCTTGTGGCTCAATAAGTAGCTCATATAATGTGGCTCAATAAACCAGGCTTTATTCTTCTTTGTATGCACTACAGTATCTTGCACTCAAATAATTATTTATTGAATTCAGTAAGCATATCTTTTCACTTATTCAATTTAGCAATTAGCACCCACTGTGTACAAAACATTATAGCGTGAAAGAAGGTGGTTAAGAGTTGGAAAGGACAGAAAGATATTGTAAGTAAGGTTAATTTTAGTGTATGTAAAGAGGTTATTCTTTTTAGATAATAGTTCCAGGATCCTAGATAATATTTCCCATGAATTATGGTTGAAAACATCTCATACTTGCAAGGTGAGATACAGGGATGACATAATGTACGCCTATGCTATGTTGGTCATGACAATATTGCTAAAGTTAACCTGTCAGGCTATTGTTGGCAAGATGCCTGCTTTGTCTGTTGCCCTATAAAGCAAGTGGGCACTGGTCAGTAAGTGGAGAACCCATTTTGGGGATTTGGGTAATACATAGAGTAATACATGTACCTGCCTTGATTGGCCCCCATCAAAGCTTAGGGGGAATCTGTGTGCCTGCCTCAACTGGACCCCATTGAGGCTTAGAGGATAGGGAGTTATACTCCTATTATTGCCTGCCCCTGTGAGAAATGTGTAGGAGTTGGTGTTCCCATTATCAGCAACCATATTTAGAAGACTAGACTAGAATAAAGTAAGCTTATTTAACCCCTCTGAAGCTGTCTTCCTGTCTGACTGGATCAAAAGTGAACCTGTGCTAGAACACCGGTTAGCCCTCCTGTGTCTCCTACCTAAGAAATGGTATAGTCGGTGTGTTCTCCTCTCTAACAGATATAAAAGTAGTAGAAAAGAAAAACTCTCCTAAAAAGGAATTTAAAACCTAGATGGAAAGATTAAAAGTTAAATCTATAACTAGAGAATATAACAAAGTTAGAGATACAGAGTACAAATTCACTTAAGTTCTATGCAATGCAAAGCTAAGGAGTAATCAACATGGGGTGAGTGAACTATGAGAAAAACTTCTTGTCGAAGTGAGCAGTTCTAAAAAATCTAAAAAAAAAGGTTTTTTGGAATATATTTTGTTTTGACACAACAGAAACTTTCCATTGCCCAGACAAAATACATTATCCCAAGAACAATTATGTAAACCTAATATTAATCAATCAACAAGCATTTATTAAGCGTCTACTGCATGTCAGGCACTATAGTAGGCACTGGGATACAAAGAGAAATGAAACAGTCCCTGCTCTCAGGAACTTAAAATCTATTAAGAGAAATAACACATGTACATCTAAGTATGTGCAAAGTATATACAATATTAATTGCTGAATTTCAATGGTAATACAACTAACAGTGCAACTGATTTCATTTTCAACTTTGAGAACTTACTGTTTGTTAAAAAAAAAAAATATTTGTGCCTCAACTTTCATAGTATCTGTAGTGTCCACTGGATTTGTCTTAAGCTTTGTTAACTTTTTTTAGTGTTGTTTGGGAGGAGTGTTTTAAAGGAAAGCAATAGATATGGATTGACAGAGAGGGAGCTGGACAATATTCCAAGTAGGTTAGAACACCATGAGCAAAGACAAATTATTAGGGATGAACAAAACAGTTATGGGCAGTATGAAGGTAACCAATTATCAATTCATGTAGGACCCACACGAAGTCCTACACTGTGTCTCATTACAGGCAGAGGTAATGCCTGATTTTTGAAGTCTATAGCCAAGACAGTGTAAGATCTGGTAGGTTCAATTATGCTAAAAAGATTTTAAGTACGGTTCTGAAAAAAGACTGAGTCTGTTTTCAAAAAAATCAATCTAGCTAAGTACAAAAAGGATCATCACTGGCTGGCCACATGGTGATGAATTCTTTGATAATGGCAACCTATGAAATAAAGAAAAATTACAAAATACCCCTCAGTTTTATGCAGCCCACTTTCTCTTTAACAACAAACATTTTTGATGCCTTTTGTTTTTATATCAAAGTCATCTAAACTTCTTCCCCCTAACAATAAACTCTTTCTTGTGACAATGAAAAACTATTTACAAAGTGACCACATCTGATGAAGCTTAATATTCTTTCTATTTTGGTAGTCATCTATCTCTCTGCCAAGACAGGAGAGAATATTTCATCATTTATTGTTCAGGACTTTGGTGTTTTTCATTTACTAAAAGTTCAACTTCATTTATGTTGCTTTAGTCAGTATATTCTCTGGTGGGTCATATAACCAACAAAATGGCAGATTAGACAACATCTCCACTACTAATAACTTCTCAAATCTCTCCAAAATAGGAATTTTATATAAGAGCTAAAACATTTTCAGCTGTCTCCATGGACTAAAACATCAAGAACTCCATGGAGGTAAAAAAAAACAACAACTCATGAATTAATAGCAGAAAAGCCTAATATCTAATCCCTAAGATGTTCACTCAGCATCCCCTCCTCAACCAGCCATGATGCTCTGGCACGGCTACACAAGCCAACCTGCTACTTTTCATTCTCTCCATCCCTTTTCCTCTTTGCCACAGAAAACTAAAAGGCAGAACCTCATTCTGGCTAGGCTTGCAGCTTGGCAGCATTCTGTGTTGCAACAGAACTCTGAGGAAGAGGGAACTAAGGGAGAACACAAGCTTGTGTAGCTAAACAAAGCTCCACTAAGCCTGAGGTAAAGCCTAGCATCCAGCTGGGACCACTTCTGTTGTCCCCCAAGAGATTATTTAGGTCTGAGACAAAGCCTAGTGAAACATGAATTCTCCAGTGTGGGAGGAAAATGAGACACTATATAGTCAGGGGTAACTACCATAAAAGGAGAAAGAGTCAGAAAGTGAGCAATAGGTGAAAATAATAAGAAAAAACATAAATTATCAAGGACCTCAGGAGGAATAAAATTCAATTAAAAAGCTTGAGCACACAACAGAGAAGATATTAATAATAGAAGGCAATGTGGCCTCCAAATTAGCTGAATGAGTCTAGATTTCTCTGAATAAATGTTGTAAGACAAAGGAAAATCAATCAGCACCCAATGAGTCAGAGGATTCTGGGGATTCCCATAGAAGAAATCATCAAACCACAGCAGGATGTTTCAGAATGCTTCAAAAAAAGAAATAAGGATTGTGAAAGTAGAATTTATGGCATGCTTAGCAGAAATAATCAGCAGGACAGAAAAATTTGAATCCATGGTAACAAATCTCACCAAAGGAAACAATAGATTGGGAATATAAATCATTTGTTGTTGTCCTTTGTACTCAAAGAAGACCAAAATGACATCACAATGTCAGGATCAATGTACAGCGTGCCCAGCTGTGGCTGATCATACTAACATGAGCTTAGAAGGTTCTATCACAGGTTAGGCACAAATAGTCCATGTGAATATTTGGAGTGGAAATGTTTCTCAGTTTGCACACCTCATGTTTCTTTAGAGCTACTACAATTCTCTTTTGCTCAAAGAATACAGTGCCTTTTTTGACATGGGCATCCCATGCCCAACTGTCCTATGTCAGTGTCTCCCATGTATCACAATCAATTCCAAAGTTTTTTAGCAAGGCCTTGAGAGTGTCTTTTTATTTCTTCTTCCAGCCTCCATGTGAGCACTTGCCTCATGTGAATTCTCTGTAAAATAGTCTTTTAGGCAAATATATGTTTGGCATTTGAACAATGTGGCCAGCCCACTGGAGTTGCACTCCCTGCAGCAGAGTTTGAATGTCTGGCAGTTCAGGTCGAGGATGGGCCTCAGTGTCTGGTATCTTATCTTGCCAGGTGATCTTCAAAATCTTCCTAAGACAATTCAACTGGAAGTGGTTCAATTTTCTGCTATGGTACTGGTATATTGTGCAGGTTTCAGAGGCATTCCACAATGAGGTCAGCACAATAGCTCTGCAGACCTTCAGTTTGGTAGGCAGCCTAATACCTTTTCTCTTCTACCCTTTCTTTTGGAACCTCCCAAATGCTACGCTAGTTCTGGCAATGTATGCGTCCACTTCATCATTTATGTGCACATCCCTGGAAAGTATATTGACAAAGTAAATGAACTTATCCACAGCATTCAAAATTTCTCCATTTGTTGTAATTGATGGTTCCACGTCTGTTTTCTTGTTATATTATCAGGCCAAAATTAGCAAAAAGGCAGAAAATTGATCCATGCTTTGTTGCTCCTCATCCTCAGAAGCTGCACTGAGTGCATAATAAT